CCATTCACCATATTCCACTGTCCTAATACTGGCTGATTTCAATGATTTAAAGCAGCACTTAAATTTTTAAAAATAACTCTACCTATACTGCTCATATAAAATCTGGTCTCAGCAGTTTTTGACCTCCTTTAATTTCTTTCATTTAAAGATATGCAAACATCACATCTTCTTTTTTATAATAGTGACACATCAATCATATTACGACTAATACCTCATAACTCCATTGCACATTGCTTTTTTATCAGAGCAAATTTCACTGTTCTAAAGCAATTAGATTGACTTCTTCGACTGTGATGATAAAGCTTTGGGCCTTTTCATACAAGGCTTACACGTCTTGTATGCACCATTCTATTACAGTCCAGTTTCTGTGCAGTGTCAATATGTATTTAGACAACTTCATTCTTACTTTTGAGACCTACAGGGGTATTTGTCTATATCTACAAATTATGATCATGTAATTTGTGTGTGTGTGGGGGGGGAATGCTATTCATGCCATAATCACCTGAATATTTTATAAAATGATTTTTTTGTCTCAATTGTTTATACTTTTCATATCATATATGAACTTTAGGTTATTGTAGTTATTTTCTTCCAGTACTCCTTCCTGTTAAGGATAGAATGTTGGTAGTCTTAGTGTACTCATAGATTACACCCTGTACCTGAGGTAAGATTCTTTCTATCTTATTTTTAGCTAGCTCACTACTACCTACTACCTAGTTAACTATTCCTCATTTTTGAGATCTCAGCTCAAGTATTACCTTCTCCCAGAAGTCTCTTGTTTCTTTATCTCTTTATATAGAAGCTTCCCACCCCCACACCCTGCAGTTTTTATCACTTCAGTGTTTATTTCTTCATGGCCGTTATAACTATATATAATTTTTAAACTTATTTGTTTGTTTTTTTAATTTCCTCTCTCTCTACCCACTTGACTGTAAGGTCCATGGGTCCATTGTGCAGAAGATGTGTTTATTTTCCCCAGTAGCGAGCCTAATGCCTGATACATAGTAAAGGTTCAATCAACGTTTATAGAGTGAATGATATGTCTTTGTGAGTGGGTGTGGAATTTTGTAATCTGTTTAGAGGCATATGAGTATGTGTTAAATCTTGGTCTTTTATAAAAACTTCTTTTGGATTCTTTCCTTCATCGATGGACAATGACATTGATGAAGGGTTGTCTGCTACTCAGTTACCTTAAATCTAGACCTATGAAACGGACCAGGCCTCCTAGAACTAGGCTTTCTAGAGCATTCAAGATCACAATGCCTATCTTCTTGAGCTTGCACTCTATGGTTGCCTCTGGTCACAGGTGGTTATTGAGCTTTGGAAATATGGTTAGTGTGAAATGCCATGTGTTGTGAGTGTAAAACATACACCAGATCTGGAATATTTAGTATAAAAATGTAGGGGTACCTGGGTGGCTCAGTTAAGCGTCCAACTTCGACTCAGGTCATGATCTCACGATTTGTGAGTTTGAGCCCCATGTCGGGCTCTGTGCTGACAGCTCAGAGCTTGGCACCTGCTGTGGATTCTGTGTCTCCTTTTCTGTCTGCCCTTCCCCTGCTCACGCTCTGTCTCTCTCTGTCTCCCTCAAAAATCAATAAAAACATTGAAAAGCTGTTTTTAAAAAATTTACAATATCTCGCTAATAATTGTTATATTGTTTGCTTATTGAAATAATATTTTGTATATATTGGGCTAAATAAAATATATTATTAAAATTATTTTTCTTTTTTTTTCTTTTTACTTTTTAAATGTGCTACTGGAACATTTAAGATTACATATATGAATCACATTTGTGGCTCACATTGTATTTCTATTTGGGCAGTGCTGTTCTAAATCCAACTAGTCCACATCAGTTATTTGGCAATACAGCCTGAAGATGAGCCACTGAAGGGAATGCTAAAATTGCAAAGGCTTCTCATAGTTTGCTCTGCTCCTGGCAAACATAAGCTAGGGAAGAGCTGTACCTCTGGAGAGTGGCTCAGATACCATTTAGTACTCCCTCAGTGTTAAGTCATGAAGCCTGGATACAATTTGTGTCCTAAGACACAGAACTTTAAAGGTCTTGCCAGTGACCATAAATCTTGCTTAGGTGAATGCTAGTACCAGAACCAAAACCTTTTAGTTACGTTCAGTCATTGAATTACTTATAGAAGGACCTACTAATAAAATTTTAACTTCTTTTTTAAATGCCATGCTGGACAATTTTAATGAACTGTTAACAAATTATGTATGTTTTCTAAAAACATCGGTTAGTGAGGAAATTACATTTCAGTCCCTAGCTGGTTAAATAGATAGAAAATCATATTGTATATTCTGATAAATTAGACAAACAGAAATTCCTTCTGTTATTATTGCCACATATGCTATAGTAGAGCATTAAACTGAGATGACCTTTATTTAGCAAAGGAGCATATACTGCGAAGAAAAATTTAAACAAAAACTCGGCTGTGAACATGAAATTTACTTGTAAATAAGTATAGATCCAGTAACAGTTTTTTGCATATGCGTAAAAACTCACTTGGAGACCATGTGCTGTAATTTGGCAAACTCATTGCTAAGTCTTATTCCAAAAGTCTACATCACTGACATATCGGGCAGACTTTACTTCTTAAGTAATTAGCTTCGTCATCATGACCCTCTGGTTTATTCATTAATTTAGCAAATATTTAGTGAGAGCCTACTATGTACCAGGCATTTCTGTGTATTCTAGATGTTCAAGATACTACAGTGACCAATACAGACAACCTTTTTCTCTTTGGAACTTACATTTCACTGCTTGGATATTTTCTCACTAGGGAGAATGAAATGAAGTGGTAAAGTAAATCTAAGCAGTGCTACCTCAGAATGCCACCAGTGACATTTTGTTGGTTGGGAAGTGAAGTGAATTTGGGATTTTCTATTCGTGTTTGTCTTGGGGAATTTGAAAACAGAGGTGCCAATGAAAACTGGAGGTGCACACAGCCTTATATATTCAGTACTAATTAGCATTTTCAGACTAGCAGAAGACATTTTTATTTATTTATTTTTATTTTTTTAATATATGAAATTTATTGTCAAATTGGTTTCCATACAACACCCAGTGCTCATCCCAAACAGAAGACATTTTAAAGGTTTCAGATAAAATGATTAGA